GGAAGCGATTGGTAAATAATTGTGGAAGAAGTAGTATTTTGAATGCGAAAAAGCACAATCTGAAAGAAATCATTTTAAAGTGTTAATAATTCTGAAAAAATAGTTATTATAAGCTTAAATGAACATAGAATACCAAAAATATTAGCTTTATATTTTTCTTAAAAATAATAAAATATAATATAAATCTTACTCCCCGACAACCACGCATCATTCGACTTGGAGGACTTTTCATTTCTATGGCACCTCATCCATTTTCCCCCTACAAATGAGCAGAAATTTTTAACATTTTCTTAAAATTTTAATTGCTGATGGTCCTCATATTTACCAAAGTCCGTTGTAGTCCTAACTAAACTAAAAAAACACTAGTTTTGCGCTTGAGATCTTGCTCTTCCTTCCATACATTGAATAAAGCACACCGAGTAACACCATAGGCTAACGCTGGAACAAAATCATAACTTTGGGAATAGCAGGAAGTAGCAGCTAAATTTGGTATTAAATTAAAGTTCTATATCTCTGCTCTATGTAACTTACGTGTTACCGTGATCAATCCGTGTCAATCCCAAAAGCTCTAGTCCAGTGCTTCTCAAACTTTCAATACTGGCGCCCCCCTTTTCAATCATAATTTTTATCGCCCCCCCTATACATTAATAATGCACTAAATGCAATAATAATGCACTTTGACGCTAAAGCTACAATACGAGATCTTAATTATAAACCATACAAATTAATAACATGCGTATTACATTTTGTATACTACTTTTAAGCAAAAAAATAAATTTATTAAGTAATAGGATAATTATTATGTTATTTTTTCTTTCTATAATTTTTAAATTGAACATATTGCAAAATGCGGTGACTGCTTAGAAGACAAAATATGGATATCTGCTAAATATAGAAAAATAACTCAGAGGGTCAATTTCTAATCATAAGCATTCCTTATAAAAACTTTGCTTTGCAAGGCAAGCCCAAGGAAGTCGTTAATGCTTATTAAACTTGTTCTTAATTTAGTATTGAATAATTAGTTATAAAATACTCTGTGCAGCACTGATACATTAAAAGTATACCGGCCGAAGTACACGCTCCTTGCAGGAGTTCATTTATAAGAAAATAAAACATTCTTGATATAATAGCTGTATTGTAAGGAAAGTAAATCCAAGAGCGCGACAATGTTTAGAAAAATGTAAAATGTTTTTTTTAAATGATTGCTCAAATTAAAATTAGTTTTAAGCGAATTGTAATTTTAAGCCTCACAGAACTAGCATTTATAATTGATGTTAAATAATGAACAATATAAAATTCCGATGAAGGATTATTGTATTATTTTTAATATTTAAAACAAAAAGACTTCAACATATTTTTACCTGGGAGCAGGTGCGCACTCGATACTGTCGAGCGGGGTTATTGAGTCACCCCAATCCTTTTTTTTATAATTATTTTATTGTACAAGATACAAATCGTTATTCTAGTGAATAATTTAATTAAGAGAAAGTTTATTTAACTACTTTCAAGGACTTTTCAATTTTTCTTTGGTAAGAAATAGACAGTTTTGCCAGAATTAACAATTTCGTGATCTGTGTGTCCCGCGCGGCCACTTCCGGGTAAAAAGTGTATTCATTATGATAATATGTATGTTACTGCTAAAAACAATTGTTATGCTATATATGTTTGAGAATACTCATCTTGGTCTAAGTCTTGCCCAAGTAACCCATCAAAGTGTGCTCTCCGTGGTTTTCCAAATATCATAAAATTGTTTTGCATGGAAAAAAGCGCAACAGAGAAATACATTACTTACAACTTCCTTAAATGAGAAATAAACACATAAAAGAGGGGTCATAACTAACTGTACCAATAACTTAGAAGGTCAAACAAATTACAGCTATAATGTGCAGTATTTCAAAAATAATAACAGTGATGAATTTTTTATGTTCCTAAATTTTTTCGATTCTGGATCTGGGATTTCTTTTTTCTCTGAAAGAGTAGAATACTACGTTTAAAGAGAAAACGTAATAAAAACTCTCACATCATGGGATTACAGAAAATTGAATAAAATAGTTTTTATTTGGTTATAGGATCAAAGATGGCTAAATTAAGTATTGAAGAAGTTTTTTTTATGACTTAATATCGCCTATAACTTATATCAAAGTAAAAGTGCATTTTTTATTTTGTCTGAAAGTATTTTGTTTGAATTCATTCCAGTAAATAAATTATTTTTAAATCTTTTATTTTCGATATGCTCACGCCCCCTCGTCAGGTTATCGCGCCCCCAGGGGGGCACGCCTCACAGTTTGAGAAACACTGCTCTAGTCCATTAAACACAAAAACTGACATACGTTAGTAGGAGTTATATGCTGTGTTAAATGCTATGTTTTTACAATTTTTAATCAAACTTAAAACCTAATTTGAAAGTCAAATCAAGAAATTGCTTACCCATGACTTGTATTTTCAAAAAATACCGCTAAAATCTGCAAAGTCTTGTTCAGATGAAACGATAAAACTTGCGACTTGAAAATAAGGCTCGCAATTTTTTTTTTTTTTTTTTTTGAAGCAAGAACAAACCCGATCTAAGCCAATGATCGTTGACGATTTCCATTCGCGTACTGACAAAAAATTATTTACCACATGGCTAGGGAACTGAAGAGGACCATAAATTGTGGGTTGTTATTTTTTTTTTGTGCAATTTCATTGTTGGGGTTTCCGTGCGCCAGATTGGGAAAACTGCCCACTGTGCGGCTTCGTTTTTCGTAGGCAGATGCATTTAGTTATCGGCGATTGAAAGAGATGCTTTAGTTGAGCAGATAATGAATATCAAACTATGTGTTCGTTTGGGGAAAAGTGCTACGGAAACTTACGAAATTTTAAAGCATATGCAAGGCTGTGATACATAATCATGAACGCATGCTTTTGAGTGACATAGACATTTCAGAGAAAGTGTCGAAGACGACAAACGCTCTGGACATCCGCAGACTTCCCTCTTCGCTGAAAACATCGAAAATGTTTCTGCAGCGGAACTTAAGAACAGGCTTCAAACAGCAGAATCAGCTGGGATATCCTCGATCACATGTCAATGGATACTGTCTAAGGATATTAACATGCATAGGACGGGTCGACACATCGTTTCTCGCATGTTAAACAATGACCAATCTGCAGATGAAGTTAACAGTGAATCGCAGGCTGAATTAAAAGACATGACTAAAAATGAATTCCATAAATACTTCAAAGACCTTTACAAGCGCAGGCGAATTACAAGTACGATATTGATTAAGAGTCCTATTTCGAAGGTGGATGTGTTTCAGCAATCTAATGGGTAATATTCTTTTAAATTATAGTCTCAGTCCGGGAACTTTTGAATCCTACTTCGAATAGAAGAAAAATATAATTATTATAGAAGTATTCCCCTCCCCTCCCCTCCCTCCCCATGCGCGTAACAGGAGAATGTTTTGGAAATATGTCATTTTTTTCTTCCTTTATTAGCAAAAATTTGTATTTAAATAGTTTTTTATTTTAATAATATCCTTAAAACAGTTTTATGAGTGTATATTCTAATTTAAGTGAAGTTAAGTATCAAAATAGCTATTAATTTATATGCTTTTGTGCAAAATCATGGTTCCGGACGCATTCAGTAGCCTTAAGCGGAAACAGAGCTTTTAGCAGAAATTACAGTTATATATAGAGAGAGAAGTATTACTTTACTCAAAAAAGAATTTCTTTCTTTTGATTTTTTTTTCTATTATATATATAAATGCTTGAATTTTGAATGAATGTATTCTTTTTAACATTTCATAATAGAAGTAGTTGAAAACCATTAATATGAAAAATTTGTGACTGAAACTTAAAAAAAAAGTTGCTTGGACATAATCGTTGTTCTGTATAATGGAATCAAGTTAGTAAATTTTGACATAACGAGGTTTACTATCATAAATTATGTGGTAAAAAAGAAAGCTTAGTGTAAAACAATAATTCGTTCTGAGTTAAATAAAAGCATTACAGCAACTAAAAAGGTCAATTTTCAAAATATTAAACATTTTTTATGCTTATCATTCGTTTAATTAACATTACCAGAAAAAAAAACGATGTTTTCCTGATCCGTAACAATATTATGCATTCAAAGAAGTTTTTTTTTAAATAGTACTTTTGAAAATTTACAAGGCTTTACACTGTTGTGGAAGTGTGAAACTTAGAGTTCCTGCTCACAAATGTGATTCTTGTCACTTGACCATGATTCAAAATTATGAGTGAGTGTTTTTTTCAATGGCACTGAAAACCAAAACGAGGACTATTGGTAACGTACCTGATAATTCTGAACCACGGTTAAGTGTCAAAGACGATACCTGAGCTGGAACAGCCCCTCTCCAAACTATCCCACTACATCAACGGGAGGCCATTGAGCCTTGATAAATTTAGCGTGCAATGACCCCCTCTACCAGTGGCGTAACGGAGAACATTTGGGACCCCTGCAAAGTCAGGTTTTAGGCCCCCACATTGAATTTTACAAAGGGTAGGCACTTGCATCAGTCAGGCTTTGGACCCCTTTAAAACCCTGCCCCCCCCCGCGATGCGAGAGTTGCGGGGGTGCACGTTACGCCACTGCCCTCTACATAGGGTATTTTCACTGGCACCCGGAATCGAATACTTGACCCGCCGGTCACGAGTTCATTCGAGATCCATAATCATTAGTTCTAGTGCAAATTCGCGACATTAATAAGAATAAGTAAAATAAAAAAAAATTAATTTAATTCCTAATTATGTCAACAAAGAAAAAATTTCATTTTAGCTACTTTTTATTAAAAAATTATAATTAATATAAATGTGCATACACATATGAAAGAATCACAATATTGAGGGGCAAAATAGAAAGCAATTTTCTTTGCAGTTTTCCATTTTCCTTTCTATATATGGCGTTGGACTATTATTTTTGTTGATTACTATTTATTCATTAATAATATTTAATTATTCGAATAAAATAGTATAGTAAAATGAAATTACATGCTCAGAAATTAGACCATCCCAGGTGGGATTCGAACCCACGACTTTTGCAATAGAGATCCAACGCGCAAACCTTTGCCCTACCGGGACACAACGAGCGAGTTTCCTTTTTATATAGGATGATGGACACTATTATTTTTTATAACTAATTATTCATTAATCAATTAATTAATATTAGAAAAAAACTGTTTTTTAACATCAAGTATCCTCCGCTACAAATTTTTAAAAATGTATTTGAACTTGAGTAGATGAATAAAAAGTATTTTATTAACCATTGAAAAATTTTAACAAGATATATATATATATATAGGAGAGTATTAACTAATAGTAGGAATTATAAAAAATCAGATACATAAACAAGCCTTTAACAAACGCCGGTATAAAAAAAATGACGAAATAGACTGAATCGAATTTTAAAAATAATATTAAATATATATATATCCAGTGGCGCACACAAGGGGGGTCCTGGGGGTCCGGAATCCCTCCCCCCCCAAGCCCTTGATTTTTTTTCCGATTGATTATATTTCTAAGTATATAGTACGTAAAATTTAATTAATTACTTGTTATCAAAGATTAATTTTATTTTAATTAATGCTGTCTATTTATTCAAAAATTAGTTTTTTACTGTATTTTATTCCCGAAAATCGACAAAATCAAAAGGAGCATGATACAAGAATGATGAACTTTCGACCCCGATCCCCCCTGAAAAATTCCAGTGTGCGCTACTGTATATATCCCCTCTCTTTTTCCTGGAAATCTCATAGCTAATAAAACACAACGAGAAAATTCCATGGATATTAATATATATTAATACTTGTTAATAAAAAACAGTAACCCGCTATTAATCCGAACATCCGGTTAATTCCGCGGAAATTTTTTTATAATTTTAAGGACGAAAAAATCGGAATATTTCAATATAAAACAGTGTAAACAATTCAAAATAGTTCTTTATTTAATATTCACGCACTGTACATCAAGTTATGGTACAAATTTTTAAAATGGAATAAACTACAGAACAGAACACTAATGTTTGATTTTTATTATAATGTCAGTTTACGCTTACTCGCCATAACAATCTGTTTACGTACACTAGCATACCAGCCTGTTTTCACAAAGTTCTCAACAGTTTTAGGAGGACACGCGTCGAATTGGGATTTAATGCATTATACATTAGACCCGTAAAATAGTGATTTCGCTGTTACTCCGGCTAATCCGAAAATATTAATGAGAACGAAGGACTGTACTGTATTTCTAATTTCGAAAATAAAATGTAAAAATTGAAAATTAGCATAGCATACCTGCAGATTTTACTGAATATTTAATGCATTTATCATTAATAACTAAGAAATATTAATGAGAACGAAGGACACGCATAAATAAAAGAAAATTAGGAGCAGATTTTTCTCCGAAGGCAGTTCAATGAATTCCCAGGTAGACTTATTGATGGAAATCTATTTTACCCTTACTTCATACTGCCCTAGGTCAACGACATTCAAACTTTTTGTATCCTTATCAGTGGGGGGGGTATTCAAATTTTAAAAACCAATATTTTATCCACACAATGGTTTATCAATGATGTATTTATATTGAATTAAATTTATTTATATAATTTTTCCCGTCGAACTTCGAACCCAAGGTAATTTTTTGCTACTCCATTCGAGGTCAAAGATTGAATATCACAGCTGTAAGTTATGTAATCGATTAAAACACCCACATTTTGATGAAATTTTATGCTAATGTATTGTTAAGAAAGAAAAATAATGCTCGCAATTTAAACTTTTTCTTTAAATTTGTGTTCGATATTAAAATTTAAATATAAATTCCATTGAATTACGGGAGTTTTTATTCATTAAAATGCTTTAAGGTGTATAAAAACATATTATAAGAGCATAATTCATTTGAATTAAAAAGTACTTCGAAATAAGATATAGCTAAAGAAATTTTTTTTAAAGAATTAGAAAGAGAGACGAAGAAGTATTATACAATTTCTTAAACACTTCAAGAAAAGCGGGGAGAAAAGTTATTTTGCTTATTGATCAATCTAAATTTTCTGTGATGCTAATAAAATATAAAATACTATATTTTACTGGTACACTTCGCAGGGTATTTCATAATGTATGAATATATAATGTGTTTATGTGTAAATTATTGGTATCAAAGCACTAGCATTGAGCGTTTCCTTGTATTTAAAAACAGTTAATTTTAAAAATTAAATAAAATTTTAATTTAAAAAGGGCCAGACCTGGATTTTTAGAACGGAAGTGTAACTATATTGTAAGCTCCCACAACCCCCTAACTCTAAAGTTGATTTTCAAAAAACCAGCTTTTAGCGGATTTCTACACAACAAAATAAACATGATTGCCGTATTTCAAGTCCGTAGGTCTAATAGTTCAAAATGAGAACCATAATGTGACCACAAACCCGTTCTCATTTTACCTCTATTGAACAAAAGAAACACGGTTACAAAATTTCAAGTCTGTGGGCCTAATGGGGGGGAAACGGGATTTATTACCTGCAACACCCTTTAACCCCTCGCAACCTTTTTTTAGAAAGTCCTTCTCCGCAAAACGCCTTCTTAAAGGATCTCTCCTCATCAAAAGAAACATGTTTACCAAAATTCAAATTTGTAGGTTTAATAATTCGGGAAATCTCGTGATGAGTTAATGAGTGAGTCACTTTTCGCCTTTTTAAATATTGATTTTAAAACCGGTCAAATCTATTTTTCTCCTTTCAATTATTTATGCCAACTTTCTACAACTCTATGTGGAAGGATTACCGCTGTACCATTCTAATGATTGATTCGCCGAGACCATGGTATTCTGTAAATGCCAGAAATTTAAATAATTCATCTTTTTCCATTCAATATTGAAATAATGGTTGTTTATTTCCTTACTTGTATAGGTAAATTCAAGATTTGAATCGGAAAATTCGGTATGATTAACAAAACATATTATCAACAGGAGTGGGAAAAAAGGGCAAAATAATTGCTTGACGATTTAAATCTCGTATATTTCCTTTAGTAGATCACAATATGATGAACAATTTTTTATTAATAAGTAAACCAAGCTTTTTGTTGTTGTTGTTGAAGAATTTTGATGCTAAAAAATTCTATAGACTTTCGTATTTGTTATTTATACAGAACAACTGTGAATTTTTTAAACATACTTACTTTCGTCATTATTTATAAGTATACATCTATTACAAATTCTAAAAATACTGAATAAAAATAAAATAAATATGAAATGGAAATAAATTCATCATCATCTCTTGATGTTTGCACTTATAATACTCTCTCGTTTGGGATTTGAAAAAAAATATGAAGAGTCAATGATATTCCATGTGATCTGAAATCTGTATGTTTCTATGGGGTGAAATATATACTTGCATGAGTGGGGAATCAAGTATATTTGCTTATGTGATATTTATAATAGAAGCATTACTCGACACTTATGATATTAATATCAGTGATTCCGTATACAATGTGATTAAATTCCCATAAAGCTCCAGTGAAGACTAACTTGAGCCGGTAAAACAGTTTACATTAGTGTAATGAGGGCAATTCATAACAGTTGGGGGAGTTCTGGCATTCGAACGTCCAAGTGGCCAGTCTCTAGATTAATTAGCTTGGCTAATGTAAGGAAGAAGAATTACTCTCTCTAAGAAGATATATTACATGCGTTAGTAAGAATAATGTTTCGACGCCAGATTAAATTCTTTTAGAAAATATAACTTCCTTAATCTTTAAATTAATAATTAATAGATAAAAGTTATGTAATGAACTCCCTCTAAAGAGTTATTTTACATTCAAAGAAAATCTGCAGAATTTCATATATGCGTGTATAGAGGAGTAAATTTTTTTAAAGTAAAATAATATTTTCTGTGTATATATATATGCAGGATTTCCGGACTTACAGTATCCAAACGTTTTGGCCTATTATTACGGAACTACCCGTCAGGATGTAATAAACTGTTCATCTGTGAATCAAAAAACCCTCCAATATTTTTTGGGTCTAGTCCGATCGGCCGCATGTGCACGCATTATTTGGCAATAGCAGACGATAAACTTGTTACACTGACTTCTTCAGTAAAAATGTGGAAACCACAGCAAAAGGTGCAGTGCATACTTTGGTTAACGGAATTTAAATCAGTCACGCGTGTACAGTGAAGTATTTGAAAGGAATGAAACGTCGTTACTGGCTTGCCTAATAGATTTATCTGGACTCCTATAACGTGAATCACACACACGTTCAACTGTGTCTTCCATTGCGAAAACTTAAGGATCCTTGCCAGTTTGAGATACCAAAGTTCCCGTCTCCTTTAATGTTCTTTCCCATTGGTGGATCGATTTTGATGTCGGAGGATCAACATTCCATTCTATTCGAACACGTCGCTGTATACACGTGACTGATTTAAATTTCGTTAACCAAAGTCCACACTGTATCTTTTGCTGCGGTGTCCGCATCTGTACTAATAAAGTCAGTGTAACAAGTTTATCGTCTGCGATTGCTGAAAAATGCGTGAATGTTTGGCCGATTGGACTAGACCCAAAAATTCTTAGAGGGGTTTCCAATCCACGGATGAACAGTTTATTACATTCTGATGGGTAGTTCTGTAATAATAGGTCATAACGTTTGGATACTTTAAGCCCAGACACCCTGTGTAGGAAGAAAGCTACTCACTCCCGCACTTATCAAGAGACCTAGACTATTAGACCTACAGACATGTAATTCGTTAGGAATGTTTCTTTTGTTGAGTAGAAATCCATTAAATCCGTGTTAAACGAAAATTGACCCCCAAAGGGGATTGTGAACGCATATAAGGGGGAAACTCCCGTTTTTGAACTATTTGACGTACAGACTTGAGATTTGGTATGCATGTTTCCTTTTTGTTGAGTTGAGATCCCGTAAGAAAGGATTTCACAGAAATCTACACCTAAAAGGGTTGCAGAAGATTTACAAGGTCATATAGATAAAAAAAACAAATTCCTGTTTTAGAATTATTCAGCCTAATGATTTGAAATTTGATGAGAATGTTTCGCTTGTGTTGAATAGAAACCTGCTAACTACGGGTTTTGCAAAAGTCGGTTCTG